GTTAGGAACAGCTCGGTGAGACGAGCTTAGGATCACTGAGTCAAATGTCTCAGGTGGCTAAGGGTGATACCTTGAAGTAACTTTCAGAAAGGCAAAGTGTGGGCCACAGGCGGGTAGTAGGAGGGGTAGTTATGGCATTGTGTGAATAGTAATGCTAATCCGGCTACAAAATAGGAAATGGGTGTCCTTCTTTGCAGAATGCCATTGTTCGCCATTGTTCAATTGCCATCCGAAATGGGGAATATCGCAACTGCTCTGAATGATGGGCCCCATTAGGACCGGCTTTTCCGTTCTGATGTGCTTGTCTGCTGCTCACTGGCCTTCTCTCAGCTTAAATAGTATGCCCTGGGTGGTCGTGGCCCAGGTGTGTCGACCATATCATAATGGCGCAGCTATTCGTTTTTTTCTGAAAGAAAGCGCACTAGAAAGAAAGCGACAAAAGTAGGTTAAGCGACAAGTCCTGAGACCCTCACCCTCAGTCGGAACAGCCCTTCTCAGGGGTACCTTTGAATTTCTTGAACTCATAAACGCGCTATATAATTGAGAGAGCAGAAGAGGTAGAGGAAAGCTGGTCAATTGTGCGGACCAATATTTCCATGAAGAAGATAGCTGGGCAATCAAATCCGAACGAATAAGCATAAATGCATTTTGTGAAGAACGGCAGCTGTGCGATCATGCTTATTATGGGAGTTCGGGCAAAATGTCCATTAATTGACCGTGAGAGCTAATTAAATGGAGATTTTGCTAGAATGGTGTAGGCAATCCCCTCAAAGGCCGAGTTTCGAGACGACATGGGTTTGATTCTTCAAACGACAACTGGATATAGCTAAGAGCTCCTGATCAACCACCACAAGGCCATACAGTCTGGAGGGATGATAATTACGATGCGAGCGGAGCTATCCCCCCTGGGTTTTATTGTGCAACAACTTTCCCCACATCGGCAGGACGGGCCGCGATTACAAGGGCCAGAGGATCAAGAAGTCTTAAACAGCTCCGAGAAGTGAAAAGAATTACGACGCTCAGACGGATGTTAGAGCTTACCGGTAAGGAGAGAAGCCAGCACTGCAAAGTTCTGCAGAGAATGAGAACTAAGGATATTAGCTTAGTGGACCCGTCAATCGTTCGCAACGCCAAAACTAGCAGCACTAATGGTTATATCGTCCAAAAAACGACAAAAAGCAACTTGGCCGGTTTGGTGAAATGCATTTTCACCAGCAAAAAATTCAGATATCATAGGAGAATAAGTGGATCGCTGCCGATATTTCCTGAGAGAGTAGTCAGGGCTTCATGGCCATCTACAGGAAATTATAAGATTACTGGCTGTACTCTAAAAGGACAAAGCTCGGAATCTTGAGTACAAGTTGTAAAGGATAGGGTATATTTTGTTGGTGAAACTTCAGTGAAAGTTGTGGCGCTGCTAGTAGGGGCGTGGGGCTGAGCACAGAGAGGAGGGTGAGGAGTGGGGAAGGGAGTGACTGCGAATTTTCCTCGTTCGCTAGTTTTTCTTGCTAGATTCCGCCATTCCACGTCTCACCTTGATGAGGCCTGTAGACTTGTGAAGAGTGAATAAACCTCGTGCTGTTGCATAGCTTTTACAAGTGTCCAGAGGTCTCCACAGGGAGCGTTTTTAGGGATCGTAGAAACCAGCAAAATGCACACACCAGTTAAGCCGAAAAGCCCCAGTTTGCTTTTTCTTTTCCAAAAGCATCTCCAAAAGCCAGGATCTGCACAGTCAACTGTCCACATCTTATGAAAGAGACCTCCTCACGGACTATGTTTCGTTTTTCACAGCGAGCTCTACGATGAGACTAATGGAAACAGAGTCCAGGGCAAGGAGTTGAGACAGGGAGAATAGAGCGCAGAAGGAGAGATCATGTGAGGAAAATGGATGTTGCTTGAAAGAAACTGCTCTTGAAGTTCCGTCACAGAAGAAACATAGGAGGGCAGCTCTCTTGTTACATGCCTTCAGATAGAAAAATATCCGCAGAATTGCCCAGAAAGCTGCGATTCAGCTACGAATCCTGGCCGAGGCGAAGCGTGGAGTTCATAACCTATCAAATTTCTGATAAATAGATATAGTGGATTAAGTTAGTCTATTATGGGATGGCACATGTCCCGTTCCAGTCAGTGTAAACACTCGCATGGATGCTCCACCTCATCTACTCCATTGTAGGGTCCAGATGTTGCTCCATAAAGGAGAACTGCAAGAAAACCCTTACGTAAGCAAGGGTTATTCGCAAATGCTGAATAGCTTCAACGCTTCGAGGAAATAACATGCAATATCTGAACTTGTTTCAATTCTTTTTGAAAATGGCGTCAGAAATCGAGCTTTTTTTTTGCGGAAGGTTTCGTGGCTTCCAGTGGTTCCAGAGGCGATCTGGTATGTCAATCAGCCTCACAAGCATCTTCCGATGTGTGAGCCGAAGTCCCGGACCGGAAGAATTTGTGCCAGTCAAGGAATCTCAAAGGAATGATTTCGAGCTTTCCATAGATCATGCTTGAAATTTTAGTTTCGGCATATAAGATGACCAGGGACGGCCATAAGAGAAGTTGGCAAAAATGGTATCAGCGTGGCCGATTATCGCAGCCAGGACCGCCAATTGAGGCCATACATCTCACAGCTCTCCTACCGCGTCGAGGCAACATAGCAAAAATGTCCTTCGTGAGGCTCGCAACGGACGCCAAGGCTTATCTACCAAGTTCCATCGAATTTCCCTAGACCATGCGCTTGGAAAACACCGTCCAGCCACCAAATCATCTTCGCCGGTTTTTATCGCGCTACGTTTGGACTTATTCAGAGTTTTCTTTTTTTCAATTTTGAAGACAGATGTGGACATGCTGCGAAAGGGGTAACATGGTTTTTTTTTCACAAATTTATTGGATGTCGATGAAAAGGCCAAATACTCTGTGCATCGTCAAGAATTCAAAAATGTGGAAAATTGATGATCAATGAGCTGTGAGGAAAGTCATCTGCTAAGTGCTCTAGATATTAGGGTGTTCCAAAAAGAAACATTTTGAACTTTTCTCGAGCACAATTTATTTCAATGAAAAGCGTCATCAGTTAACGGTATGTGCCGAACATCATCAGGGCAACAAAGAAGGACATCTGGTTTCCAGGAGTATTTTTGTTGTGTGCCTGGAAACGCTAGAGCATATAATTATGCTTCTGGAATTTTTAGAAGTTGAAGTATTTCTTCCCTGAAACTAGTTGTTGATGGACTAACTGAGATGGCGGCAAAATGGACTAGGCCAGGGCTCCACTTTGGGTGGGATAGAAATTCCCCATCCGACTTCAGGCATCTTACTATGTTTCCTCGAAACTATGCGGGCACACACGTTGTTGGAGATCCCCAACAGGGGGCGTCGTATTTGGTCGCTGGGAGAGGGGGAGAGTTGTACTTCGAGCCGAGAAAAATTTTTTTGCAGACTGATTCCCCCTCCCCCCTCCCTCAGCGCTCGACAACCTCGCGATGATGGGGGAGGGGGATAACCAACGGATGTCGTAACAACCATCCACAGAAAAAAAGGGGGGGGGGGGTCGTAGCGGAACTGATCAAATCTCTAACGAGCAGTGATGTGCCCAGGAAACTATGATTCACATAGTTTAATGCGTAGTAGACTTCAAAGTTAATTTATAAATTCAAGCTAGATTACAGGCAGGTCTTCGCTCGCCTGGCCACAGGGAAGGTGCCTGCGTAGTTCGATAAATCTTTCACTCACATATATCGCACCGCTTCTGCAGGATTGATTAGATTCAGTTGCTAATTCCCTCCTTTGAGGATCATCCTTTGAGGATGGTTCATCTGAAAACAATTCTTTCTTCTCCAATTAAAATGTTGGTTTTCAAGTTTGAGCAAAAAGAGATGTGTGGAATGCACTTCGAAAACCCCGTCCACAATTTCTTCTATTATGAGAATCAGCGCATCTCATGAATAATCCGATCCATGACTCACTCTCTATTGTAAGGGGTGCAACTCTTCCTTTTGTTTTGGTTAGACCTAAGGGAGTTGCTAAGAAAGCGAGTTCGCTACATGAAGTGGTTACAGTAGAAGCAGCGGCCAAATTCGGAGGGGCAGATGGCTTTTCGGCGGAAGCTACATCCATTTCGTACTGTATTATGTGGGATACGGGTCAGCCCCGCCTATCCAGGGTGGCGTGCAGCTCCAATCACGTCGTGACCCAGTTGAAATGCAAACAGCAAACTGTTGCGAAAGTGATGACAGTCAACTAGTTGCAAACATTAGAACAGCAGCTGCGATGAAAGGATGGAAGAAGTTTGACCAGCCATTATGCCCCTTCATTGGAGCTCTTTTAGCTTCAGCTATGGCTTCAAGGAACAAAGCAACCAGTAAGATGTTACCTTACGTGGCTTGCGGCTGCGCTCACTGCTTTGCGATGGACTTTGCAAGGGGTGCTGCCCGCTACGCCAAGTTCAGGCTTCACAATGCCTAAGCGTCCGCAGCAAACAAGTCCAATGGACGAACGCGGTATATCATTTATCAAAAGGAAGCACGGTATGGATCAGCCACTCATCGTATTCGAAAGTTGGCAGTCTGTAGTTCACAAGGATTATTATGAGGTCTGGCCTCACACATACCACCAACGAGTCCCGTCCTTATGAACCGAAGGTGTGATTCAGCTTATACGAGGAATGCTGACTGCGGCCAAAGAGGCGTTGCGAAGGTTGTCACGCGGTATTCGCGCAGGACCAATCCGATTCGACGGATCAACGCCGCATCGTATCAAGCAGCTGGCTGAAATATAGTTCATACTGCTCGCACTATTCTGCGGAAGAAGAAACACCTTCCAGAGAAAAAACCAATCTATTTCATAGCTCTTTTTCTGGCTTCCCAGCAAATTCCTAACTCTTCTTATTACTTTTCGATTTTCTCTGCAACGAGATTTCCCGTGTGTGGGCCACTCTTCCACAGACAATGCTTGAGAGCAAGCTGTTGCTGTAAATAAACAAACATGAAAACAACAAGTAATGACCTCAATATTTACTCTAAGACAAGTACATATACACAATAAACGGCAGAAAATATGTTCAAATGTAAATTGTCTGAAGACCGTGTGAGATTCCGCAGGTCACCCATACTGGAAAGATTCGGTGCCATGCTCATCATCTCCGGCTCTTCACCAGAGTTGATCGTTGTCATCTGGCCGACAGCGTCGTTGTCTCGTTCCAGAATCTTTGCCTTTTCCACTTCATCGGAAGCCATCACCTTTTCAAGTGATTCAGTTGGCAGTTCCACGGAATTATCCCCAAGACGAAACTCTGTTGAGGTAACGACTTTCTCGGTCGAAGTCATGTAAATGGTTGTTAATTTTGGCAGGTTTTTTGTAGTGGTAGTGTTTTTCACACGGAGAGTAGACGGTCGTGGTAGGTTTGCTGGTGTGGTAACTCGATTCCTTGTCGACGCATTAGTGACAAGAGAAGCGTTTAGTCGCCTGGAGAACTCTGAAATGGGGAGATTGAGAAACTCTTAGGATACTTCGGAAAATGAGAGGTATTCTAAAAATCTATCTTTTCTTTTCTCCCCTACTGAACCGCCTAATTATCAGGCTTTCGTAGTACGGTATCGGAGAATCGCTGGTCCACAACTGGTATACAGCGTAAGAATAATGCAAGCCGACTAAAGCCATTGGTGTAGGGCAGGGTTCATAGTAAGCGACATCGGCGGTAATGCATCCCAAGTGGTAGCCATCCTCTGATCCACAAAACCGATGTATATCAAATCCTCATGGGGAATTTCATAAATTGCCAAGGAGTCTCAAACTGTGAGAGCTGCTTAGAGCGCAGTCCGAGTAAGACCAATGACCACCATGTCATAGCCTTATATTTGGCCCCACCATGGTAAAATTGTGACGTTCCAACGCGTCCTACTGCCACGGTGTATGTGCTCTTATATGTTGACTTTGGTAAGTCAGTTGGCCGCTTCGCGATCGCGCGCGATAGTATCTTGACAGAATATCTACTTTGCGACGACGCGAGTCGACGCGCTGCTGCTGCAATCCTTCTTTAGAACGAGATCCCTTCTCAAGACCTCGGCCCCTTTCCGGAGATCTCTTCCCCTATCCTATCTTTCCACGATTTCCCACCATCGCATCAGAGGGGGGGGGAATATAGCGGAGTAAGACGGGTAAAACAATCTCTCAGAGACAAATGCGCCTACCCCCCCCCCCTTGAACGTTATAATAAGACGCTCTCGCTGGGGATCCCAATGTACGACCTGCCCTGGTTGCATGGATAAACGCTATATGGGAACGCATCCATAAACGGGGCATTAATCAGGGCTGGCCTCTAGTGTTTGTGGGAGCATGGCAGAAGGAGAGCGTACAGATTGTGCACTGAATTCCTATCTATGCTCTCCGAAGCACTGGCGCACACAGACTGGTACACTCCTATTTTTCTGTACTCTTCAAAATCCCAACGCACAATCCGGCACTCTGCTGTTCCCCATACTCTCCCAAAATATTGTAGCCGGTCGCGATCGATACCCCTCATGGCTGCGATCTCGTCTTCAGCAGTGGGGCACCATTCCGACGGCAAGGCGACAACGCGCGTTATCGAGAAGTATGACCTCTACCTGACGCATCATCTTTTTCGAGGCACCATCTCATCCAAAAAACCCCTGGAACGATTCTGTTCTACCAATCAAGCTGCTACGCACACTCTCGTAATTTACCTGAATGTAGATGTTAGAAAAAAAGTTGGCCCATACCAAATGTTGGCAGCGGATTCTCCTCCATGAACTTCAGTGTAGAAGTGCGCATGACGCCGACGTCAAAGGCATAATTCGTGTAGACGAGACATCGACCAAAGGACGGTTTCTCGATGTTCAATCCAAATAACCGAGTAACTGGAGGTTTCGCCTGAAAATAATTTAATTTTCACTAATAGTTCTACCTCGGGAGTGAAGCCTTTGAAAATGCTACTGATCACACGGGGCGGAGGCAGGCCTATCGTTGTGCCTCCCCTTTCCATCACACCTCCCTCTCAACACAATGTAGTACAGAGCTGGGATGTACCAACGAAGACGAAATGAAGTTGCATGGCTGAATCCGTCGATACTGGGCTTGTAAAAATAGATTCGTCACTCGCTCTCATTCACCCACTTATTCCGCCAGCTGCTCATTTTATCATCTGCTGAAAGAGAGGAGAAAGATTGACGGAAAGTTACTTAGAAGTTTCGTAGATTAGTCCGCGCGGCGCCGCGATCGGACTTATCCACTAGCGGACGTATGTGATGGGCTTCAAGGCATTCACTTCTATCCTTGCCTTCATCCATTCATTACTTTAGTTCACCGTTGATTAAAGATTGCTTGGCGGATGGTTAATCTTCGTTTATGTTTACACTCAAATAAATTGTGCCCGGGGCAAAACGGCGTGAAACGACGGCGAATTAGCCTGAGTGTGAATAATGAGGATGGCTGATCCATTCAGAGCAATCCCAGAGCGCACATGAGTATTTTGAGTGGAAAGGGACAGAAGCGCATTCAAGCCATTGAGGGATGCTGACGAAGTCATTCAAGTGATAATGGCAGAGATGGCATAGTGGCCAAGGCGCCACGTGCCGCTGGGAAAAACTGCTGGGAAATGAGACCTCTAAATTTTCTTCTTTGGCTCGATTTTCTTCCCTATTCTACCTACCATCCTACTAACTCATTCCGATTGGATTCCTACCTTTGTTCTCGTTTTTCCAACAACTTTTCTAGTTAGAACAATTTTCGATAATTTTCTAGCATCTTGTAGACTGCTGCTGTCAACCGATCAGGAAGGCGGGGGCAGGGGAAGGAGGTCATCGCTAAACAACTACTAGGTCCATTCATTGAAAACTGCAAGTTGCTGGCCACCGACAGTGCCGCCGACTAGGGCGGAGCGAAGCGGCGAGCAAATACGATCTTGAGGTTCTCCAAATAGAAGCCCCTACTGGGAACTCCTAACGTACCACTTGCCATGTAACCTTAGTAATGATAAGTGGCACGCTCATGACGCATGCGGTCCAAGGTCTAACGCCGGCTCCAGCGCAGACCGACCAAAGCGTCGCTCTCCGGGACGGTGAACTGGTACCAGATTCGTGTGGGCGGGAAATATTACTGAGTTGGAAATCGCCTACAGCCCGTAACTGATTGTATAAGCCACCTTGGATTAAAGAGTGGCACAACGGCGGGGAGCGAGCGGTTACTGTCAACGCCATTGGTGGAAGGGGAGTTGCCACACCCCATCAGCCCTTCTACCAATGACGATGGCAGCAACCGTCCGCCCCAGCTAACGTGCCAACTGCCTTTGAAGGCAGGTGGCACGATAATTCGGTGCTCGATCTATAATGCTGGCAGGGCCCAAAATAATGGAAAATGGCGAGAAAACTAAGGGAAACAGTCCAAAACCTGCAGAGGAAAGCCTTCGTTCTTAAGGACTCAAAAAGCAATTTCGTACGAGTTTCCCGTAGGCATGTTGCCAATAACGCTACGGTAGGTACGGCTGCACATATGTTCTCACGTATCCACGCAGCACCGCGGACGCTTCATACCAATCCTTTCGCTTCATATTTTACTTGACAAATGAAGCAATACGAGCATCAGAAAAGGTCGTCCATTTGTGGGCGGGCGCGGCGCGTTTGGGTCGGTATGTTGTAGCTTGATAGGACCCTTATAAGTGTACCTCCCTATTAAAATCCGCTGCGCATCGCCTACCCAGGGTCGCCGAAATCCGCCCTGTCAGACATACTAATCCTACTCGTCTTAGGGATATATCGTGCCAACTGCCTTTAAGTATGCCACTACTATTCTGTGTGGAAGTAGAACGCCTGCCGAATCCCAGAAGAGGACTGATCATCTGCGTACACTTCTCCCTTCACTTTTTTTCTAATTAAATGAAAAAGTTAGTTGGCATACCGTTCTATCAGTTTCTGTATACAGTAGGACATTTTGATCCGCAGCCATGCTGTTCAACCATGGTCGATTTTCTCGAGCCGTCGTGTTCACATAGTGAGTTACCAAAGTGTTTGGCCTGAGCGAAGTGTTCATTATAATTTACTAGGAGTTGCAAATGATAACAGTGAATGCTCAAAGCCACACAGGTCTGCCACTAATTTTACCAGCGGTCAAATGACTTTGTCAAGGTTGAGCGAGCTCGCAGCTTTGTCGGGTGTCAGAAGGTACGAAATGAGCCTACTCGTGTTCCTAGCTTTTGTTCTTTGCAAACTCCGCTTCTCAGTTGTAGGTATTTTTGTTTCAAGACTATAGATGTAGAAGGGGGTAGAGCCTAAGTTCTGGCTGAGACAGCTTTCCAAAACGGCCTAACGTTAAGACTGAGGCAGACAGTCTTTAGAAGCCAACGTCCCGTGGCTCATGGGGAAGCGTCTGCTGCCACATAAGAACGCACTCCAGGTGAGAAGCTTGAATTTACTTACACTCCCGTCTGGCAGCGAACTCTCCCACTTAAACGGTGGGATCGCTGGCTTTTGAAGACGACGATTCATCAAAAAGTTAGGCCCTTGTGCGTTTTCTACTACTGGATGTTTTCCACCTAAAGCGGCCACTATTGATGGAAAACTCAGACGCCGATGGGCCTACTGCGCGCTTCTTTATGCGCTGTATTCCAAAATCTATGTTCAAAGGTAAAAAGCTGCGCCATTTCAATTAGTCGTGGGAAACCTACGTTGCAGCGACACTTCGCAAGTGATGCCACATGTGCCAGCACCTAAATGACCGGACATGAACGTCCTCTAGTCAAGCAAGTGATCGTTGTGGGATCCACCAGCAGGGAGAGGAGCGTAACTGGCTTCCACTCCTATTCTTGTCACGACAATTTTATATTATCCGTTTATTAATCGGGAGAACGGAGGTCGTACCAAAGGAAGGGCTAAAATGAGAGAAATTCATATATCGAAAAAATGGCCCCAGCTGCTATAAAGTTGACCACATAGGGAACAGTTCGTCATAGCAGAACTGGCATATCTACTACGCCGCATCGTGGATCTCGGACCTAACGCACCCTTCTCCAACAAACCTCTAATAGGTGGGAGACGGCAACAGGCGGGATCGCGGATTGTCGCGCCGTCGCGCGCGGCGTATCATGCGGCGGTCTCGGCAAATTCTCAACTTGCGTCTGTTTGCAGCGAATCTGTAACCTGTTCAGGCAAGAGCAAGACTTCATGGCTCTCAGTCCCCGATAGCTCGATGCTGTGAATGCTCAAATTTAACGGCCACTTAGGACAACTCGTCTGCTATTTGAGCTGGCTGTCCTGACTCAGGACAGGCCCTCCAGGCACGGCATAATACGATGATCTTGTCCCCGCAATGGCGCCTGAATCCGTCCGGTGAAAGTTACATCCGCACAGTATTACAGCTGAAGCTGCGCAATATCTGATAAGGTGCCGCTAAAACCGCGATTTTTTTGGGCAAGATAGATAACGTACCTGAAGAGGAGATCATATGAACATTCGTATAGAAGAATTCGCTCGAATCGATTTCGAATATAAATAAAGTTTCGCTGATTGTCCAAAGCGACTACATACTCGCTGGCTATATCGGGCCCGGTCCATATTTCTAAAGCTAAAAAACGAAATCATTCACTGTACCGGTCTCTCATTCTCTACTGGCAAAGATGCCGCAAAAATCTTTGAATTATACAGGAGAATCCTTCGGAGTTCTCTTTCCTAATATTTCTCATACTTCGGTAATACTTCGGACACCTTATTCTTCCGGGAGTTCCAGTGGATGAAATGTCATAGGGGTCGCACCCACACAAGGGAAAGGGGATAAACTCCATTATCCGTATTCCACTCCGCTAACCGCTAGAACTCATTTGGGTAGGGGTGAAGGACTTAGTTCACACGCTATATATTTACACCGAAGCCTAGTCTCAGTCCTTATACCTTCGGAATCCGTCGAACCAACATGTTGGGAATTCCAGTGACGCTCAACTAGTTAACCTTGAACCAGACTCGCGGAACTTGGCTAATCGACTCTTTTCCTCGTCGCTGTTGAATATGACTCCCTTCCCATTCATTATGTTTCCACAACGACGATGTGCCCTACTTGTAACTCCCTGCGTCTTAAACTATGGTAGTGCGTGCCATTAGTGGCCCTTCCTTGTGTATCCCTGTGAGCAGGCTGAACATCGCTGCAGCCGTCCTTTTCGAGCGGCTTCTGCGATATTTAGCCCGCTCAGCCCGTCCTTCTCGGTTGGCTGCAGCTTCTTCAGTCTAAGCCCTAAAGGCAGTTGGCACGATAAACCTCTGAGATGTGTAGACTGATGCGCTTAGCAGGACTGAATTCGGTGCCCCTAAGCAAGCGCTGCGTGGCGATTCTATCTATAGCGCCCTATCAAGCTGCAGCATACCGCGGACGCCCACCGTGCCCGCCCGCTTACAAATGTCCGACCGATCCTGATGCTCCTATCGCTTCATTTGCGAAGTACAGTATGAACGAAGGGATTGATATGAAGCGGCTGCGGTGCTGCATGGATATATGAGTACATACATGCAGCCGTATCTACCGTAGCGGTATTGGCACGATGCCAACGGGAACTCGTCCGAAATTGCTTCTGAGTCGTGTAGAACAAAGGCTTTTTTGCAGGTTTTTGACATTTTCACTTCGCTTTTTCGCCATTTTCCCACTATGCAGCACCCCTGCTACTATTTTGGACAAAGCACCAAGCACCCCAATTGCTTTTAACAAGAGGCACAGTCCCCGTTGCCCGTACGCAGATAAAACCCCCTGCTTGAACTTCGCCTTGATAATCGTGGCAACCTCGCCTGATACGCCCGCTAAATATGTGACAAGGTAGTCTACGGAGCACAGGTTTCTGAACAGGATAGAAGCTAATCGATAGGGTGTAAGGCCATCCGCTGGATTCTACATCACACTCTTATAGACAAGACAAGGACGTCCGAGGACGGTCCTCCCATGTGCAAGAAAAAGGGGTTGGCAGCTAAACAAGTGCAACACACATGTGAGACCGCGAAAATGAAGCTGAAGAGTAGTGAGCGCTGTTCTAGACGCCGCCGAGCTGTCATCACGGTGCCCCATTTGTGACGATACCAAAATCCTGCGGCGAATCCGCAGTCAGAGGGAGAGAACAAAGAGAAGTGAAAGGGCACAGGCAGGCAGTGCGTCTGGCTAAAGTTAGGCGTGTATGTGTGCGACACCCGAGTATCATTACCTGTAGTCCCGTTCCTCGTCTTGCGTTCTAACTCCCGTCGAGTGCACGATTCCTTCACCTTTCCCTTGCCCCCAGTGGAACCTGCTTCAAAAAGTTTACCAGGGCAACCGGGAGGCTTGTATTACACGGCTCAAAGTCATTAACCGTTTTTTTCTGAGGAAAATAATATTCTCCACTAAAAGTACGAGTAATTGAAAAAGTAGAATAACTTACGTTTAGCGTGATTGTTCACGTTGATTTTCTCCAAATGTCGGAGATAACCGTTCGCATTGATCTGGAACTGATGCACTGTCCACATTGCCCCAGTCGACTGGGCGTCAAAAAAGTAAAGCACGTCCTGAAAACATTTCCTCTGCTGTTGTTTTTCTGTTTCATTGTCTGAATTACTCCCTCATTTGGCTCTATTTCTGCGAAATACCTTCACTATCTTCTCTGAAACCAGTCAGAGACTCCCTCATGGATGGCAATAGATCCACCAGGCTGCACAAGAGAAATTCTCGTTCAGTACAGACTTCTTCCGCGCCATGGTGTAGTTCAGTACATCCGAGGCGCACTTCAGGCAGGTGGACTGATGGAGTAGTCCCCACAGTCCTGATGACGTCTCAACCGGTTGGAGCTGTGACGGAGTGAGCTTACCCGCAGCGTTTTTACCGTTGGTTGTTGTTCTCTTGAACTGATTATTACCCTATCACTGTAGGTACAAAAGGCGTCAGCAGTCGGGCTCACGCCGTCCCCTGACACCGTCCCGCCCGTTATCAACTTCAGCGACAGGACACGGGGCTGCCACAAACAGTTTGGTCCTTAGATGCGATGGCCCCCACCTCGCGTGCGACCCTCTCACCCTGCAAGTCAAACTTTAGCTGACTTCAACCACAAATGATATCGTCCCAATCCAGCATCAGGAGGCGCGGAATGAGCTCACTCGCTGCGTTTTCTACAACTGGATGTTCTCCACCTATACTGGCCACTACTGGTGCAAGGGGAAGTCCAGATGAACTCCTTCCACACGATTTCTTGCACCGTCCTGCTCGACTGCTATAAAACCCACTAGTTCTTCCGCACTAACACTTGGCTCTGCTCCCCTGAATTTCCAGAAAAAAATTATAGGCATCGGAAACTGTGAAATTCTTTGAAATGCCGTTTACTACGAAATTCATTTTCTCAAAACTGCAGCACACCTTCCCATTGATGCAGAACTCTCTCAGCCAAAGGGGTCAAAATATGACCAAATTCTTGACCAACTCAAATATTCGTCGAAGAACTCTCAACTATGACGTGTTCCATCTCGAACAGCTTTTTTCAATTGGCACGAGTCCTTCCCAACATAATCTAATTCACTCAGTCCTTGCAACTCTCAGCTGAGAGTTGATTATTCAAAAAAAGTATTTTGCATAGTACATTTGTGGCACCAGACATATGGAGCCAAAGAACCGTCCTCCTAACTCACGCAGCCCCGTAAACTCTCAGCTGAGAGCTGATTCGTTCAGGGAAAAAAATAGTATTTGCATAGTGCATTTGTAGAGCCAATCAGACAGGGCCGAAAATCCATTCATCTATTTCACTAAGTCCCTTCATCTCAGCTGAGAGCTGATTTATTCACAGAAAAACAATATTTTGCATGGCGCAATTTGTAGCAACAATCAGACGGAGCCAAAGAACCATCCCTATTTAAAAGTGTTCTCTCAAGACCACTTCCTACAGTGACGAAATGCCTGTCCGATAAAATCTAGTCAAAGTCTAATCCACTCAAGACCTGGACTTTCATTTTGTAGCCTAAAGAGCAGAAAAGGTCATTTGCTGAAGTTCAAGTGAGGTAAGAAGTGGTCTGCGACGGAATTCCTCACAAGTCATGAAAATAACATAGAGCAGAGCCACTTACACTAAATACCGTATCCAAGAAGGATAAGTCTGGTTCCAGTCGGAACATTTGTGGAGACGAGTGCGAACATGACGCGTATGGTAATGAAGACAGCAAGGAGTAGCTGGAATAGGATGTTTTAGGACAAATAGCGAAAATTTGGCACTGGTAGAACTTCACAGTTCTACATTTTCAAAGTCCGCCTCGATTTTCTAGTTCTCTCCCTTGAAGATTTGTCCCTCGCAGAAATTTCCCTGATTTTCAGCGTTTTAGCTAGTAAACAGCAAGTAGTACTCAAAGTATATTCTAGGTATAATGCCAAGTATAAAAATAGTGCGAATTCGCTCAATTAATTAATTAATTCAGTTGGCAAACAGCGATGAAAAAGTGTGGCGCTGTTGGGCTTGGAGAGAAGTCTTTGCACTTTTGCCAGTTCCTTCTGTCATCGTGTCCAGTGGCAGGCCTCGCTTTGATCAGCTCTGGGAACACCTGTGAAGGTGCTACTTTGCGCGAGCAGGTCATTTCTGTCGAAGGAGTTTACAAGTGTTTGAAGTGACCAGCACAAGTTAAACTGTGTACCATTCGGTGCCCCTTCCAAATGAGGCTGCAACAAGAGAGCTATTGATGTAGGTATGTAAGATTTGTTGGCCAAAAGACGCACACTTCCTAAGGCCTTTGGAATTTTGCATCATTGAGTTTTTTCTTAACCACTAATTTAGAATTATCTAAGCCACTCAAGCCCATTTCCAGTAGTTGTCATTTTGCTCATGACATACATACTTATTACTACTTAG